GCTATGCAAAGCCAGATGATGTATGTGTATTTGAATAGTATAGTCGGTGTACACGTTTGCCGAAGGCAGGTGGTACGAATGTATCATTGTGGATCTTATGTGTAGGCTTAGTGGAGAAGTTAGAACATCTGACTAAGAAGTCGATAAAAAAGGGAAAGGTTCTCACTGTATAAGGATAAGCTAGGACTATGTGATTTTGACTGGAAGAGGCCTTCCCCCTTGCATTATCCTCTAATTGCATGCATATGGGTGCCTTTAATTCGCCAAGACCCTCACAAAGCCCAGTAAGACACCCTGGGCCCCTCCCCTTATTCAATGCCCCTTACTGCCCACGAATAGTCTAGTCCAGGGACCCTTCAGCCCAAGGTACCCACGACCCCTTCGGGCTGGGTGGTCCCTGCCTCCCCGTTAACCCTTTCCTGCCCGCTGCCCTCCCAGCGACCCTTCCCCGTCACGCAGGGCCTCTCTCTTCCGCGTGCATCCTTCTTGGCCGGGACCCCTCCATCCGCTCCACCCAGCACCCGCGGGGCCTGGCGGCCGGCCGCCCCCGGCCCACTCCGTACCGAAGTCCAAGAACTGCTTCATGGACAGCGGGGACGGGGAGAACTTGCTGAAGTGCTCGATGTACTTGGGCGCCCCGGCCAGGGACGCGTTCTTCAGCAGCGCGCGGAGCCAGCGCATGGCGGCGGGGTCCGGGTCGGGGTCGGGGTCGGGGTCGGGATCGCCGCGCGGCGGGCTTTCACGCTCTCACGGCTCGGGCTCGGGCCCGGTTTCGGCCCCAACCCGGCCTCCACCGCTCCTCCCCTGGCCCTGGCCGTCCTCCAAAACCCGGCCAATCGGCTGGAGGCGGCTCCCCGTCGCCGCCAATGGCCGCTCACAAACAACTCCGGGCCAGCCAATCGCGTCCCGCTCCGGCACGTGGCTTCCCTCCCGGGCCCGCCCCCTCGCCCGGGTTGGCTGGGAACGGCCTGTTGTTTTCTTCAGGCCGCGCGGAGAGCCCGCCCCCCTCGGCTCCCTCCGCGGAGTCCCCAGCCCGGCCGCCGGTTAACCCCGCGGTCCCAGAGGCCCGTGATCTCCTCCTCCTTCGCCGCCTCTTCCCTTCCCGCTCCCTCCGCGAACCTCCAGTCCTGTCTTCCCTGATACGGCCCGGGTGGCTTTCAACGAGTCCCAGTGCCCCCAGAGGCCCGGTGTCACCCTGATCCCCACCTGCTCGCCCGCAGTGGGGTCCCAATCCGGGGACAGGGACTGTGAATGTTTACACACTTCGGGGGGAGGATGCAGCCCCCCGGAATCGCTCATACAGTCGCGCAGCCCGCCCACGCCACAAAGACCCAGCCACCAGCGGAGGCGGAGGCAGCCCCTACCATCAGCGCTACGAGTGCAGAGTTCAAAACACTTTTTATTCTCCTCCAGCTCATTTGATCTGAGAAGGCAACTTCCTCCGCCCTGGGCTTCTCTGAAGAAACGTCCAAGAAGGTGATTTGTGTTGGGGGGGCCAGGGAGCCCCCTTTCTCCAGCAGCCCCAGCTCTCTGGGAGGAGCGTAGCGCGCCCTCTCGCGGTTGGACGTGGTATGTCCTGTCCACCGACTCGCCTTTTTGGTGGTTTTGCCTTTTCACTGTTCAGTCCTGGGCCTACACTTGCCAAGAGCTTAATACGTGCTAGGCTTTGTGCTGGGAACAGTAAACACAGACAGGATTAAGGCACATCATTTCTCAGTTTGGGAGCTAGCTGCATGAGTAAATAACTAAATGAATAGACGTAACAGAATGAGGTTATAGCCAACACAGAGCTATGGGCAAGGCCTCACATGAAAGGGATTCTTAGCTGATGAATAATAACCTATGTGCCAGGCACTGTTTGTATGCATTTTATTATTTAATTCTTCACCAGTTCCGTGATGCTATTAATAGCTTCATTTTATAGATGAGGAAACTGAAGCTTATTTACAGAAAATCTGAACTTGTTACTTCTCTTGCTTACAGCCTTTCAAATACTCTCCACCTTTTCTTTTTTTTTTGACTCTCCACTTTTTACTGGAACCGTTCAAGTTCTCACAGGATCTGCGTTGGCTTAACTGTCTAGCCTCATTTCTCCATATTCCACTGCTCAACTCCAAACCATACTTCTCTCCTGCCTTGAGTCAGCCTCCAATCTCCAAGCTGTTGCACATGCTGTCTCTTCTGCCTGGATACGAGAGCCAAGGCCCTCTTCTGTAACGGTTGGGAGGTACTGTGGCCCCAAGGAGCTCAGGAAGCGTGGCGGTATAGAGGGTCCTTTTATGAAAGTGGGCATTGTTGTGTTTCTGCCATTATGTTTCTTTCATAAAAGTGTGTGTGTGTGTGTGTGTGTGTGTCTCATCTAAGCAGCTGCTCACAGGAGCCTGGGGGCTGGGCCTCTGAAGCTGGCTGGAAGGATGCATATAGGTGCCACCTTTTTCTTTTCTTTTTTAAAATATATTTTTTATTGATTTCAGAGAGGAAGGGAGAGGGAGAGAAAGATAGAAACGTCAATGATGAGATAGAATCATTAATGAGCTGCCTCCTGCACGCCCCCCACTGGGGATCAAGCCTGCAACCCTGGCATGTGCCCTGACCAGGAATCGAACCATGATCTCCTGGCTCATAGGTCAATACCAACCACTGAGCCACACCAGCCAGGCGATCCCACCTTTTTCTTAAGCAGGAGGTGGCTGCAAAGGTCTGGACTGAGCTGGTTCAACTGGAGCTGGATTTTGATAACCTCCATGTTATTGCTGACCTAGAGAATAACAGATTCTGGAAAATAAACTGAGGCCACCGATGACTGGTTTTGAGAGCTCTGGGTAGGGGTTGAGGTTTCTTTTCCTAGAGGAACTGGACAGCCCACTGCCAATCGACCTGGGAACCAGCAAATCCCAGCACAGAAAGGGGAGTGGGGCGCTGGGCCCACGACTCTGTGAGGTGGGCTCTTACAGAGTGGAGGGGGGGGGCAGGCAGCTGCCGCATTGAGGTGGGCTGGGAGGTACCCAGAAGCAGCTCCCCGGAGAACAGCCTGGTCTGTGGGCTCTCAGAGAACCTGTGTCTAGACTTCTCCAGGTAATAAAATCGGTGAAGTCTCGCCAAAGGCCACAGCCTTGGGGAAAGTGACTAGAAGGACCTGTGCCATCATTTAGGAGGAAGTCAAGGGGAAAAGAGCCTTCCTCCATTCCCGAGGCCTGTGTGGAGGGAACAACCTAGGGCAGAGGAGGAAGCGGAGGGCTTGATCCAATGCTGGGGAGGGGGGCGATGTCAGCTCAGGACTGAAGCACTCCGGGGGTAGTGTCCATGCGACGAGGGCTCCCAGAACCCTGCCTGGAGGCCTTGGGTCACTGGTTCACCTCCTGATTATCTACTCATCATGACACCTGCAGGTGGTGGGGGGGAAATTGAGGCAGAAAAGCTGGTCCTCACCTGAATTAAGCCACGAGGGTAGGGGGGCTCTCAGCTCCCCACCCTTGCACCCAGGCTCCTGCCACTGTTACCTAGGACTACCTGTTTCTACAGCACATAGCTTCCTGTCACTTCCAGACCCTGCATATCACCCTCCCTCCTGCTCCTCCCCAGAACCAGCTCACTGGCCACCAAAAAGCCATTTTTTACTCCATCTGCTCTACGCAAGCCTTCCTGCTCCTCTTACGTTCTGCACTTCAGTTCCCCGTCTATGACCAGCCCTTAGACTAGAGCGTCCCTGAGAGCAGGGGAGGTATCTCCTCCATCGGCCTTCACCCTCCCGGCCTTAAGACCCCCGCATTGCGCTTTGTCCACCTGGGGGGCAGCCAGACGTCATGGTCCATCAGAACGGAGGAGGAGGAGGGGTGAGGGGTGGAGGCAGCTGCAGTGTGTACAAACAGGGAGCTGTTTATTGGTTGGTGTGAGAAGCCTATGTACAAAGAAGGCACAAGGAGGGGGAGGGAGCTCCCCTGCTACAGTACCGTGGAAGGGGCGGGGGGCCTGCCGACAGGCAGGGGGCAGGAGGGGGTTTCCGGAACCAGCCTCGACTTCCCGAATGGGCCTCAGGACTCAGCCCATAGGGAAGAAGGCAGAGCTGGTTGACGATGAAAGCCAAGGCCAGCCAAGAACTCCACTTCGAGGCCCCCAGCCCATGGTGGGTGGGGACGGAGTGAGGTGTGGCCGATGGGTCAGGGACAGGGCTCCCTCCCTGTCCTACATTCAAGTGTCGCTCCCTCTGCGATCTCGTGGGGGTCTCTCCAGGCCCTGCAGACGCCAGGACGGTAGTGGTGGGTGAGGAGTGGCATTTCCTCTGTATCCTTCCAGCATCTCCTTGGCCCGGGACCAGCCAGTCTGTGGTTGAGGATTCCTCTGTGCTCCCAGGGCGGTCCCAGCGCAGCGTGTCCAGGCTGCCTAGCAGCTTGTCCATCCTTGCTCCTTCAGGCTGCGTTCCCCACAAGTGCACGCCGCGGCTGAGGACAGAGGCTTCGCAGCGGTCCGTGAAAGAAAGCCATCCTGTGACCTTCCTTCTAGTTCATTCTGCTCTCGCGCCTGAGCATGCCAAGTCCTGCACACGCCCCTTGGACAGCCTCGGGCAGATCCACCCCCACCCGCGTTCTCTCTCACGGTGTCAGGAACTACAGCTTGGAGGCTGCGGGCTGTTCCCTGTCAGTAGTTTTCATCTCAGGAGCGGAGTTCACCCAGTGACTATGGTTCAATTGGGTCCAGTGTAAGTAGGGAGGGGTCACCACTTCGGGGCCTTTCCTTCCCGGCTCTGGCAGAGGCCCTTGGGCTTGGTTTTGGCAGCGGCAAAGGCCGGCACACGCATGTCCACGCACCCTCTGTGGTGCACAAGCACAGTCCACAAGCAGTGGGACCCACGCGTGTCCAGGGCACAGGGCTGCAGTGTGCTCGGCGTAGCAAAGCCCACGGCCCCAGCCCTCCTGCGTGGAGGAGCCCGTGGTCAGATGGCATGTGCATGCGCTCAAGGAGGTGTGTGTGCCCGAACCCACTGGTGCCAGCCACAGGCCGTGGCCCCTGCGGACCGTCGGGGCATAACTTAACTTATGACAAAGAGAAGAAGGGGACACCAGGGGCGCAGGGGCGGGATCAGGGAGGGCGTCAGTAGTATCGATCCCATGTCTGCCAGCTGGTCACCCAGTGCTTCTTGGTGGGCAGGGTGCCCCCTGGAGGTGGGTAGCGTTCCTCCTCCCGGATCCGCACGGCGTGGTACTTGGGCATGATCTGGTAATAGCGGGTCCGCTTAAAGAAGTCACACTGGAGTTGGGGGGAGGAGAGGAAGGACATCAGCGACCTGTGGGAAGACGTGCCCAGCCCTTCCCCCCCCCAAGAGGTCTTCAAAGCCAGGACCCCCGATCCAAACACACACCAATTCTCTGCACTGAGATCGGGAGGACGAGGTTCCCCACGGTCCCCAGAGGAAGGAGGAACGGAGGAAGGCCGAGAGGAGAGGGAGAGGCAGATGGAGGTAGAGGCAGCCGCTGAGGTTGCTGATGGGAGGGCTAGGAAGGGTGGGGATCTATCCTGACCACAGTGTGGGGTGGGGTCAGGGGTCACCCTGGTGGGGGTTCCCAGGAGGGACAGGGCTGGTTCCCAGGAGGAAGGACTCTACGAGCCCCCTCCTTCTCTGGAGGTGGAAATGGGGGTGTAGAAGCATCTGGAAATTTGCCTTGTGAGCTACAGAGATGAGGCCTCGCCTTGGTCTTGACCCCTTTCAATCCCTAGAAAGCATGGGAGGGGTTTATGGCTAACTCTGGGGTCCCAAGTCCTCACGGGCTCAGTGGGGAGGCTGGTGAGGGACCACACCACGAGCTCTCCCGGGGCGTGGCAGGGAGGCCGACAGAGTGGCCTGCTCTTTGGGGTGGCGCTGGGGACAGAGTGAGGTACAGAGAGGCCCCATGAAGGAAGAGGAGCAGATAGGACAGAGTCAGAGGCCCCAGCCAGCTGGGGGGCTCAGGGAAGAGGGCCCGGAGGCCAAGTTACCCGGGTGGGGTGGGGGCGGGGGCTGCCCCCTCAGTAGTCTTCGGTCAGCCTCTCTGTCTCTGACGGCTGGCTCTTCATCTCGGCCTTCTGCCTCTTAGCTTCATACAGGGCGCGAGTGCGGGCTCGCTTGAAGAAGCCGCACTGCGGAGGGGAGGGGCGGGAGGGGCGGTCAGGGAGAGCTGGGGGTCCTTGCCAGCAGCACTCTTGGATGGATGGGGGCTTAGGACTGGAGAGCCTGGAGGCCTGGGTTCCAGCCCCAGCGGGGTGGTGTGGCCTGAGGCCAGAGTTCCTGGATTCCCCTTTCCAGCCTGCAGGTCCCCCCATTAACCCAGGTCGGAGCATCCCCGCGGGTGAGGTGAGGATGGGCAGGGGGTGAGACTGAAAGCTGGGGAGAAGGCGGGAGGACATGGGAGAAGGTGGGGGTGCGATGGAAGTGAGGGATGGGGTGAAGGGAGAGTGGCTGAGGGTCTGCTGGCAGGCGGTCCCGGAGGCCAGCTGGGGTCCTCACCTTCCATAGCAGGAGGATGATGAGCCCCAGCAGCAGCAGCCCGGCCCCCACAGCCACAAGCACCAGCCACAGCTCGATATCGGTTGGCAGCTCCTCCCCCAGCTCGGAGTCAATGTCCACGGAGAACTGGACGGGGGGAAAGGGGCTCAGGCCTGTGCACCCCCCTTAGGCCCCATGCTCCTGCTCTCCCCACCCCCCCCCAGCTTGGTCCCTGACCCTGCTGTTTGACCTACTGCCAGTAGGGGGCGCTCAGGGACTGGAAAAGGCCCCTGAGAGCAGCCGATTCAGCCATGATCTGGTTTCTCCAAAGGAACAGCCTCAGATCTGGGAAGCAGCCTAGAACTTGGGTTTGTGATGCACACATCCAGGCTTGGGTACCAGCTCCATCCCTGACGAGCTGTGTGACCTTGGACAGGTAAGCTCTCTGAGTCTCTGATCAGGGGATCATAATGCCTGCCTCATAGAGTGGCCAAAAGCATGTGTTCTGGAGCCAGACTCTCTAGAGCAGTGGTCGGCAAACTCATTAGTCAACAGAGCCAAATATCAACAGTACAACGATTGAAATTTCTTTTGAGGGCCAAATTTTTTAAACTTAAACTATATAGGTAGGTACACTGTTATTAACTTAAGGCTTAGGAAGAGCCACACTCAAGGGGCCAAAGAGCCGCATGTGGCTCGCGAGCCGCAGTTTGCCGACCACTGCTCTAGAGGGTTCAAGTCCCAACTGTGCTATTCACTAGCTGTGTGACCTCGGGTAAGTCGCTTAACCTCTCTGTTCATCTGTAAAATGGGGACTGGATAATAATACCTACCTAATAGGTTGCTGGGAGGATTGAATGCATTTAATATGAATAAACTGCTTTGAACAATACTTGGTACACAGTAAGCAATCCATAAATATTTACAAAACAATAAAGAATGCATAGCAGATAGTACCATTCTTTTTCTTCCCCTACAATGGAGATACACACACACACACACACACACACACACACACATATATATGAAATATGTGTTATTAACAATATGACATCTATTGTGATACAAAATTACATTATATATTAAATATATTTCACATATAACTAGAAAGTTTTTTTCTGGTTATACATGATTATTTCTTTAAAAATTATTTTATTATTTTTTAAACTACAGATGCTACAAAGAAAACCAAAAGCTCCTTATAATTTTACTCCTGAGAAATAACCATCTCCAACATTTTAGTGACTCTCTTTCCATATTTTAGTGCGTATGTTAAATATGTGTACTTTTTCCTCCCACATAAATGGGATCTATATGGACTGTACACACTCTTTTGCGACCTGCTTCCCTTTTCACTTAATACCATCACCCTTTGATGCCATGAATAAAGATCACCCTGGTCTCTTCTGATAACTGCATCGTCATTGGAGAAACGTGCCATAATTTATTGAACCAATCCACTGAAAGACACATAGATTGTTTCCAATTTCATGTCATTATAAACAACGCTTTAAAAGAGCCCCATATATTTATGTTCACATACTTATCCTATTAGCTCCTTAAGTCTGTGCTGGGCAAAGGAGATGTGCGTTTTAAGTTGTAATAGATATTGACAAACTCATCTCCAAAAAGAATCCATCAATTTAGACTCCAATCCAAAGCATTTCCTTCCGGCGCATCAGCACCACATAGAATTACGCTTCCTCATATTTTGTGATCTGATAGGATAACAGTCCTGTTGCTGCTATTTTTATTTCTTTACTATTGAGTTAAACATTTGTATTTTACAATATGTACACTGTCTGTTTATTTTATGTTGCCCTTTACACATTAACTATATATGTCAATACTTCGTCATATGTGCCATAGACTTTTTTTAAAAAGCAATATATCTCTCACCCTTTTCGTTTCCTTTCCAGCTCTTGTGCTGGACAGGCAGGCTTCATTTGAATGTGCTTCATGTTACTGGACTTTGAAGATATTGCATTTTTTTTTACAAGCTGAAGGTTTGTGGCAACCCTGCATTAAGCAAGTCTATCGGCGCCATTTTTCCAACAGAAGATGGTTAGCATTTTTCAGCAGTAAAGTGTATACATTGTGTTTTTTGATACAATGCTATTGCACACTTAATAGGCTACAGGGTAGTGTAAACATAACTTTTATATGCACTGGGAAACCAAAAAAATTCATTGTATTGTGAATAAAAAAATTCTGTGTATTGTGATATTCACTTTACTGAGGTGGTCTGGAACCAAACCTACCATATCTCCAAGGTATGCCTGTATATAAATTTAAAGTTTCATGTAGTCAAATTTGTCAAATTTTCCCTTTGTGACTTCTGGGTTTACTAAAATAACTCCCTCTCCACATAATTAAAAATTATCATTATTTTTTTCTAAATTTTCTCTGGTATATTAGGCTTTATTTCCTATTTTAAATGTTTAGTCTAACTCAAACGTATATTTTTATTTATGGTGTGAGGTAGGGGTTTGTCTTTAACTTCCAAGTGTGCTCTTCCAACATGACTTAACAATCCACCTTTCTCTACTGATTAAAAATGCCATCTGTATAATAAAACACGTTTCTGTGCTGTTCCATCCATCTTTCTATCCCTTCTTCCAGTACCTTAATATATTTTAAGAAATGTACCATAACATATTTAACCAACCCTCCATTGCTCTCCTATATGTATTTCCTACATATCTCCATTTATATCCTTTTCACAACAATTTATTAGAAACTTTGTCATATTTACTCTTCCAGGTATAACTCAGAATTAAGTCTGGGAACCTTTTTCCCAAGTTTGCTTGGAGATGGGACATCCTCATGGAGATGTTGTGTGAATCAAGTAAGGTCAAGCAGAGGTTCTCAACCACGGCTGCCCATTAAAATCACGGGGTGGTGGGGTTTTTAAAGGAACCACTGCCGGGTCCCACCTCCACAGACTCAGATCTCATTGCTCAGGGCTGTGGTCTAGACATCAGAAGTCCTCCAGAGGATCCCAGTGTGCTGCCAGGACTGAGGACCACATAGCTAACGTGTGTGAAAGTGCTCTGAGAAGATGCCCTGCACTCCAGGCCCTGGCCAGGCAGCATGCTCACTCACCGGCACAGTCTTGTTCTCCATGTTGATGGTGGGGACGCTGGTTCGGAGGAACAGGGTAGCCCAGCTGGTTACCCTGACTCGGTCAAAGTCTCTGTAATCCTGCAGGGAAAATGGGTGGGTTAAAAGAATCAGATGAGCCTCCCTCCTGACCCTAAGCTTCCGCCCCCCGCAGGGTACCCTCTCACCACACAGCATCCTTAAGCAGCACCCAAAGGATCTGATAGCCAGGCCTCCCCCCACACAAATGCACATCATTCATTCACTTGTGCATCGGATCCTGTGCTGGATGCTGAGAACAACAGAGACGATGAAGGTCACAGTCTAGGTCAGGTCTGTGGCCTAAGTCTGGCCTGCCGCCTGCTTTTGTAAGTAAAGCATCTGGGGCACACAGCCATGCCGAATCGTTGACTGTGGTCTACGGCAGCTTTGTGCAACATGGAGGAACTGTGTAGTTGCAACAGAAACTGTATGGCTCACAAAGCTGAAAAGATTTATAATCTCGGAGGACAGATCGTTTTCAGCTGGAAAGACCTCACTGGTGGTGAAGCATCTGAGGGGGACTTTTACGGGTGAATAGGAGTTTACATCCAGAGATAAAAGAGAGGGAGCTGGCATTCTAGAGGCAAGGAGTAGCATGTCAAAGGCATGGAGGTGGGAAAGTCGTGGGCACATGACGGAACAATGGACACATGAGAGAAGGTCATTTTGGCTGGAGACAAACATGTCATGTCCACATACAGGCACAGAAACTAACACGGACACAGCACACAATGACAGTGTCCAACCTGTCCTGTATAAAACATGATGCTGTCCTTGACACACACGCACACACATACACACACACACACATGCATGAGGCCTTGCTGTGACCCTGGCCTCACCCTCTCCCTGTTGTTCTCCCCACCCAGGTAGGTGGCAGGGGAGACCTCCAGACCCAGGCACTGACCTCAATGAAGGTGCTGTTCCACACTCGAGCCTGCACTGTCACGTTGGTGAGGACAGGGACATCAGGAATGGGGCACTCCAGCCACACACAGCGGGTGTGGACACTGCCACAGCTCTGAGGTCGGCAGGGAACACAGGGCACGAGACAGGCTGGGTGTCCAGAGTCTTTATGCTTCGCCCCTTACCTTTGACTCCTCCCCTGCCCATGGCTGACCCAAAGGGCCCTGACCTCAGCCCTTCACTCATGCATACTCTCACCCCCCATACTTACCAGTATATGTTTAAGACATATTCTTTGGGTCAACCACTTATAGATGCCAGGGACATGGCTAACATGAAATCTGGTATCTGCTCATGGAAATGGGGCCCAGTCTACAACATCCCTTTCCCAGCCTCCTCCCACACTGAGCCCCCACCTCGGATACTGCCTCCACCTCCACCCAGCTAGGCCTCTACTTCCTTCCAATTCTCTTCCTGTCTCCCTTTGGACAGGGGCACCCTACTCCGCCTTCCCCATTCCAGCCCTAATGTCCAAGGCTGAGCAGCTATATCACCCCAACAGGTTGGGGGGTCCTGGGACTAGAGCCAGTGTCTCTTCCTTTGGTCCATTGTATTGACTGTTCCCCCAAGGGCAAGTGCAGTGAGGTGCCCTCTGGGGGCAGCAGATGAGTCCAGCTGCTCTGACTAGGGGCTCCTGAGGACATGGGTTATGTCACCTCATCAGACTGGGGTCTCCTGGTGAACAGTCCCTATTCCCCTTGTTTTGCAAGCCCCCTGGATGTGTGGCCACAACCCTCTCCAACCCTGGCCACTCACCAATACGGTCTCAGACTTGGCTTTTTTGGCAGCAGCCAGAGGAACAGGTGGGGGGCCCTGGACTCCCCCCGGGTCCAGCTGTCGCCGCCTGCGCTGTGGTGATGGCGGTCTGTCCTCAGGGACCTGAAGAGGGAACAGGTGCTTTGCTGGGAGGAAGGAATGAGCAGAGGTGAAGAGAGGAAGAAGGCGCAGGGGGAGAGGCAGGATCCCTAAGAGTGTGAGGAGAGGGGTGGGAAGACGCTGGCCTTTCTGCCCTGCAGCATGCAAATGAGATGCAAATGAAAGATTCCTGTGGTGTCCTTACTGAGAGAGTGAGGTTGAGAGGGTTGACAAGGTCTCCTGGTGGTTGGCAGGTCCAGGACCCGTTGCCTCGGATGGTGATCTCCGTGGGGTACAGCAGCCACTTGCCATTGGCGACTTCATAGGGCCACTCCAGCCCTAGGACCAGGGTCCCCAGGACTGCCAGCCCTTCGCCCACTGGGCCCACCTGTGGGCATAAGGGGTGTCAAGATTACTATCTCCTAGAAAACCACCTCCATCTCACCAACCCCCACCCTCACAGCCTGAGATCCCAGACAGAAAGAACTGCCCCATCGCCCTTCCCAGAAGCCTCCGGCCCAGGGCCCCAGAGTCCCCTTACCTGGAACTCATACTTGAGAGGGCTTCCTACGTCCTCCACAGTTTTCATGCCAGACTCGCCCATCACCGTTCCCCCAAAGTAGCTTTGTAGCCGTTGACTCACCCTAGTGGTAAGAAAGATGCTGGAGTCACAGGAGGCAGGAGGGGCTCTGGCAGAGGGGGTGGGCACCCAAGTTGGTTAACTCCCTCGGACATTAGGCAGATCTAAGATAAATTCCAGTCCGGCCATAGCTGTGCGGCCTCAAGCAAGTTATTGACCCTTTTTGAGCCTCAGTTTCCTCATCTGTAAAGTGGAGTTAATAACTGTTGCTACATCATGGGCTGTTGTGAAAAGCCAATGAGATGATGTATAGAACATCCCTAGCACAACGAGCTGTCAAGAGATGGTACCAACGCCTTATTCCCCAGAGTTGCTGATTCCTCCACTGCTGCTGGCTTTGCAGGAAGAATAATAACCACCACAACAATGACAGTGGTTGTTGTTAAGGGGGAGGGATGATCCAGGGGATGCAAAGGCCTCGGGAAACCAGGCCAAGAGAGGTGTGTCAGAGAAGCTTGGAGATACCTTGAGGACAGGGAGGCCCTAGCTCAGGAAGAGAAGACTGGGGGTCACGGTAGTACCTACATGCTAAGCGAGGCCTGGAGAGTGTAGTCCACCAGCAGAGTCAGGGTCATGGGCAACAGGTTGTCCTGGTGACTTGACCTGGGAAGGAAGTGCGGGGAGTGGGTAAGGAGATATGTCAGCTGAGGCTGGGGCTGGGCGAGGTCCCAGGACCCCTTAACCCCAACACAGCCTGGCTTTGCAAGGTCACTTACGTGGAGAGCTGCAGCTGCGCCTGGAATTCCCTTGTGTGCAGGGTCACCCCAATGACCTCGAAGGCGATGAGCAGCTCCATCTGCCATGATGGCCAGGGAGGCAGAGAGGGGTGTTTGGGGCCACGCAGGGGTGATGCCCTGGGGCGGGGGCTCAATACTATGCTAGATCGGTTCTCTGGCCTCTTCGTCCCCCCATCCTGGGTGAGGGCTCTCCACCTCCCCACCCATCTCCACTCTTGTACCTTCCCAGTCACACCTCCGCTTCCCCTTCCTCTTCTCTGTCAGTGACAACTCGGCTACTTTTGAGCTACATGACCTTAAGTCAGTTATTAAAACTTTCTAAGCCTGTGTTTCCGTTCTGTAAAACAGCACCTACCACCTCAGAAGGCTGTAAGAATTACAGTCATATAGAAGCAAAGTGTTGGGCTTGGGGCCTGGCCCACGGGAGGTGCTCTGCCAAACTGGTTTCCTCACCTCCACCGCCTCTTGCTTTGTGCACACTCACTAGTGGCTCCATTTTTCTCAGTCCCCGGATCTCTCCGCACCCCTTACTTGATCTCCTCCTCCCCCACGCTGGCTCTTTGCTTCAAGGAGGGCCAGGAAGCAGGCAGGCAGAAGCGAGAAGAATAAGGAGTTGCCTTGGAGAATGCGGCCAGGGCTTACCCTCTGGTTCCGTTTGAAGGGGTTCCCCAGCTCACAAAGGATGGTCTCGTTGGCCTGGCAGGTTCCAGACTAAGGAAAGAAGATAATGAGGTCTGGGTGGTCAGAGGAGGGCTGGTCCCGCCCCTTCCCTGTATCACAGGGTCTGAAGCCCTGGAGGCATGAGAACAGGGTTCCCTTCGCAACAGAGATGCTGCAGGCACCCGAGGAGGCCCAGCCCAGAGAAGAGGGGACACATGACAACACGTGTAAATGACATGCATCTAAGGATGCAAATACATGATGGAGCCCGGGCTGGGCACTCACAGGGCGCACTGAGGACAGCAGCAGGGCGGGGGGCACCGCCAGGGTGAGCAGCGCCTCATGGGCGTCTTCCCCAGCCCGCTCCCTGCTTGGGGTGTTGGTCACATTGATGCTCAGGAACAGTTTCCGGAGGTCTTTGCTGTACTGGAGCCTGAAAAGGGAGGAGCCTTAGACTGAGCCCAAAGCCGGCCCAGGCCCCGCCCCGCCCCATTAGGCCCCGCCCCATTAGGCCCCGCCCCTCTGGTCTACTAGCTCTAGAAAGCCCCTACTCCGGACAGCCAGGCCCCGCCCTCCAGTCTCGCCAGGTGAAAAAAGGCCAGTGAAGGTCAGTTACACATCCTACCTGGACAATTAAAGTCCAGCCTCTCAGCCTCGCCTCCCTCTGAGGCCCCACCCCTGGGATCTCCGCCCCTCACTCCCGGTAGCTAATGAAGGCCTCCCCACCCTTGGCCAATAGGTGCGGCCCAGGGTGCACCTGCTCAGCCGCTGCCCCTGCTCCGACACGAAGGCCGCCTGCATCTGCAGGTTGCTGTCGCACTTGTTGTCCTGCCCGCACTCCTTCTGGAAGTGGACCTGGGGGGACAGAGGCGTGAGCAGCGCAGGACCCCCCGCGGCGCCTTCTCGTCCCACAGCCCACAGCCCTCCCGGCCCCGCCCTGCCCGCCGGCCTCACCCACCTCCGTGTGGTTCTCCAGAGCCTGTGCCTGGTTGAGGACCGGGTAGGCGTCCAAGGACCGCAAGCCCAGCCGGGGTTGGTCGGGCAAACGCAAAGGTAACGAGTAGTTCATGGAGATGACGATGGGGCGGAGTTTGTCGCGGATGTTGTCCTGGGAAGGAGGGCGAGCTGAGCCCAGCTCTGCACCGCCCTCCCTGCCGAGTTGAATCCTGACACCACCCGGAGTCCCCAGGGAGGAGCGTGGGCCCCCCTCCACCTGGGAAGGCCCCCCCAGGAAGGCTGAACCTCCTCTTGTCCTCTAACCAAATTGATCCCCTTCCTACCACCTTGATCCACAGGTGAGACGGGGTGCAGAGATAGCTCTGGGGAGGTGTGAGCCTCCCTTCATCCCTGGGCTCCACAGTTGAGGTCTCCCTTTCACCCCAAGGTCCCAGAGAGTGGCTGAGTTTGCCCCCCACTCACAGACCCATTTCCCCAGAGCCGAGCTGAGCCAGGAGTCTCAGCCCTCACTCTTCTCAGGTCTCCATCTCTCCTCTACCACATGCTGGGGGCTGTGCACTGTACCCCCGAAGACCCATGGGTTTCCAGGCAACCTCCCCACCTCTGTCTCTGGGGAGATCCCAGTCCCTCACCCCTGACCTGGGGGGGCGGTGCTGGCTACCTCTTTGAGGGACGTGGCCCTCCCCTGGCGCCTCCCTCACCATCAGGAGCAGCTCTAGGTTCTGGCAGCGCCGCTCGGGCATGGAGAAGAAGCCATGGAGGACAGCTGACTGGCTCTGCGCAAAGCGAAGCCGGGGTGGGCGGCGGTCCCGGTCTGCCTCCAACGTGTAGGCCAGGGCTGCAGGTGGAGGACCAGGTGGTCAGCAAGTGACCCGGTGAGCACGCCCCCCCTCACCTTGCACCCCAGCACTCACTGATGTTTCTCCTGTAGTTGGGGTTCCCGGCACTCTGGTTGTAGGCAAAGCACAGCTCCACCTGCACACTGTTGGGGGAGGCGGGGACGTACAGGAGGGCCGGGTCACAGCGGGACCCAGATATCCAGCCCTCGCTCTTACTCCCTTTCCCGGGCAAGGGGAAACAGCCCTTCAGGGGAGAGGCAGGGGCAACACGGGGAGTCCACATAGCTGGTCTGGGGTGTCCCTGGCTCCTTCCCTCCCCACTTCCATTAGAGCCATAGAAAACAGGGATAGAGGTCCCCAATGGGGAAACTGAGGCCGAGAGCAGAAGGGGTTGCCTGGAGTTGTGGCCCAGCCAGTCTTATTCAGATCTCCTTCTTTTTTTAAACCAATTTTTTTGTTTTTATATTTTTATTGATTTCAGAGAGGAAGGAAGAGGGAGAGATAGAAATATCAATGATGAGAGAGAATCATGGATTGGCTGCCTCCTACATGCCCCCCACTGGGGATCGAGCCCACAACCTGGGCATGTGCCCTTGACCGGAATCGAACCCGGGACCCTTCAGTCCGCAGGCCAACACTCTATCCACTGAGCCACACCGGCTAGGGCCAGATCTCCTTCTATGCCCCGCTCCCCCTGCTCTGTCTCCCTCTGCCTTCTGACCCAATTTCCTCCCTCACACAAAGACCTGGGGGCCATCCGCATCATGGTCACCATCCTAGCAGCTAACATATTTTGAGCATTCAGGGTGCACAGGGTACCATGCTAAGGGCTTTTTGTACATTATCTCATTTAACGATCACAACAATCCTGCGAATTGGTTATTACTAACTTTGCTTTATAGGCCAGGAATCGGAGACTCAGAAAGATGAACCATTTGCTGAAGGTGGCTCTCTCCTTCCCCACCTCCATCCAACTAGGTGTTCCCCTTGTCCCTCCTCCCCGGGATCTCACTCCCAACCCTCCCCCCCCCCCTTACCACTGCAGTGGGCATAGCTGGAATCTGAAGCAGGCAGTCCAGAGCTCCCACTCCTAACCCCCATGCCTACTGCCCCGCACCCCAATGCAAGGAATTTTGCTTTTTAATGAGGTTGGGTAGGCTGGGCAATGCTTACCCAAGAATCAACCCTCTACTGGTGGTTTATCAGGAGTTGGGGGTGGGGGTGGGGGGTTGGGAGCCAGGGCCCTCCTGGCTTGCCCATATATAAGGAGAAGGGTGGGCAGAACGGGGACTGCGAGTCTCACCAGGAAGTGGCTGTGCAGAGTGCGGGGTCCAGCACGGACGGCCTGGCCACCAAGGTCCTGTGGAGGATGTTGATGACGGGCCTGGCCCTGCATAGAAAACACCCAGACATCAGCACCCCGCCTGCCTCAGGCCAGGCCAGGCTGGGGCTCAAGCTTGGGTGGCCCTGGTGATGAAGGCGAAGGCGGACGGAGATGGGGCTCCCTGCAGGCAGGGTGGGAGGGGAGAGGCCCCTATTCACCGTCGCCTTGGCTCACCGCAGCAGCACGACGCGGTCCGACAGGCTCCCCACGAGCAGGTCTGGGTAGAGGTTCTCATCCACATCCATCTTCCCACTCAGGGAGTAGCCGAAGGAGGCCAGGCCAGGGAGTCCCAGCTGCTCTCCACGGATGACCTGGGGGCAGGGGGGAGCACTGAAGACAAGCTCTAGGGTAGGATCTGGGGAGGGGGGCCCAGGGGGAGTAAGAAGAGGGTGGACGAGCCAAGGAGGGAAGGCCCCGGGCCCTGTCCATTCATACCTGCTGGGGCTGTTGCAGGAGCCCCCTGGAGCTGCTGTGGTAGATGTATATCGTGCCCAAGCCCTCAAACGGAGCTCCCACAGCAATGTCTGGGGAAGAGAGGCAGAGTGGGGTCACCCTGGGGACTGTGGGCCCCCTGTCGCCCCAATCCTGTGCTCCAGCCACAGAGCCCAGCATGGCCTTGACCCCACCCTGCCAGGCAGTACTCAAATCACCAGGAAACAGCTCTGTGGCTCAGGGTTGAAACTGGGACTGACGGGCACCCAGCTGCCTCCTTGTGTATGTGGGGAACTAGGTCCAGGAGAGGGAAGTGACCTACCTAGTCAGACAGCTAGTTAGTGTCTCAGGGAGGCCCACCCTCCCGATTCCCGCCAGCGGCTGCTGTTTATTTCCCCTTATTACAGTGCCTTCCATCTCCCCCACCAACCTCCCTCCAGACACCTGCTTCTCCTAATGTCCTTTGCCAGCAGGGTCACAAAAGCCGGGGCTCCCCATGGCTGACTGTGCCAGGTAGGTATCAAGTCACTCATTTTGTTTAATCCTCACAAGGGTGCTGGCTGTCGGTACCACTGTCCCCACTTTATAGATGAGGAAACAGACTCAGAAAACCCAACGTCACACAGCTGATGAGTAGAGAAGAGGATCCCGGAGGCCATGCCTCTCTAGCGTGGGGGGAGGGGGGCCTGGGATTTTCGTCACAACACGACAGTGTTAAATGTTCAAGTGTCCAGACTTGTAAAATTCCAACCATTATTTCTACGCATAAATCCAAACTGCTTCAGCTTCTTAAACTTGACTCAACTCTGAGTTTGCTGCCTCTGATCTGATAAGGCCTCCGTACACAGAAGGCCAAGCTTGTTGGAGAACTATGTGGAGGAAGAACAAGTAGGTCCTAAGTGGAAACCGGGTGACTCCCGTATCAGTAAGGGCTTTGGGCTGCATCAGCTGAACTCTCTGTCACCTGTTTGGACTATTTGGAGGCTCCTTTGCCTTCCGTTTGGTTTTCAGCTATATTCTGGGAAACTGAGGATGCCAGAGAAGCGACTTCCAGATACACCAGGTGCTCCCATGGCAACCAGGCGAACAGCCAGGTCTGATCGGTCCCTATGTGCTGCAGAGTTCCGGTGACATCCTCTATATCCAGGGCTCCCACCTTTTCCCGGCTCTTAACATCCCCCTCCTGAGACACTGCATTATTGATTTTAACACCCCAGCCTTGCTCGCCCCCATCCGTCCCACATCTCCTTCCAGGGTCCAGGGACCAGGGCACCAAGTTATCATATCCGATCCCTGCCCCCACACCTTCTCTGGACACCCCTCTATCATTACCCAAATATAAAGCCTGGCTTTCAACACCATCCACCTCACCCCCACGCTACCTCTCTAGCCTCATCTCTGAAACAACCCCCCACACCTGCTAGATCTGGGGACCTCAGGCAGGTGTCCTATCTCATATTGTACCCCTCGGCTCCCTTCCACGGTGCACACTCAGCCCAGCCCTCGATGCCCAGCAGTATGTTCACTCCTCGTCTGTGGTGGCTCCCTCTACACATCCCCTCTCTAGCGCTGCTGTAAGCTCCCAGGCCTGGGCCCCATCTCCTCTCCTCTTCGGGCCCTGCCAAGCTTGGTATGCAGCTGGCACTCAGTCAGTGGGGGTGCTGGGGCGGGTGTGCTGGCTCATACCTTGGAATCCATCCTGGTTGATGTCACCAATGCTGGCCACGGAGAAGCCAAAGGCGGAGCCACTGGGGCCGTGAAGGAGAAGGGAGGGGTGGGTCGGGAAGGAGGTGCCTGCCTGGTTCATGAAGACATAGACGGCACCCCCTACCTCTTCCTTCTGCTCGAAGTAGTAGGGGGCACCCACCAGGAGGTCCTGCCACCTGCACAGAAGAGAAGGAGGGGGAAGAGGGAGTGTGAGGCCAGCCATCAAGATGCAGCATAACTGTGGTTTAGCAGGCATAACTGTGCCAGGGCACAGGGCTGTACAAGTGGCATCTCTGGCCATGCGTCGTGGGAAAGCCAAGGAAGTGCCAACATGACCCCATCTAATAGAAAACACATGCGAGGAAGACATGCGTGCACAGATTACACCCAAACAGCCCACATGCACTAGAGCCAGAGAAATGACCGGCATAGACACGGAGAAGCAGGTGTCATGCAACTGACATGCAAATGCCTAGAATCCCAGAAAGTCTGATTGCAAATCAACAGACAAGAGTAATTTGCAAATCCCTGCAACAGCGTGCGAACAAATGCAAGCCTCCCTGTCTCTGCCTGGGCGAGCCTGCTCCCCTCACCATTCTCCCTGGCCCCAGAGGACGTCCCTGGATTCTCACCCATCATTGTTCAGGTCTGCCAGGGCAATGGCGCTGCCAAAATAGGAGCCCACCTGTGTGCCCTCCAGCACCTGCCTCCTCCGCAGGTCTCCGCCTACCTCCTGGCTCAGCAAGAAGACAGCACCCATATGTCGGTGCCGCGGGGCACCCGTCACAATGGTGATGTCTGTAGGGTGCAGGATGGCACTGCCCACCTGCACCGTGTACCCTGGGATGGGGGAAGGTGGTCAATCAAGGCCCCAGGTAAACTTTGTTGCCTTCTACTCTGGATGCACCCCCGAGGTCACCCCCATTATCTTCTGTTCCTCTATTCTACGCTGGGCAAGAAAGTGGCTTCTGGCCGAAACCGGTTTGGCTCAGTGGATGGAGCGTCAGCCTGCGGACTGAAGGGTCCCAGGTTCGATTCCGGTCAAGGGCATGTACCTGGGTTGCAGGCACATCCCCAGTGGGAGATGTGCAGGAGGCAGCTGATCGATCTCTCTCATCGATGTTTCTAACTCTCTATCTCTCTCCCTTCCTCTCTGTAAAAAATCAATAAAATATTAAAAAAAGAAAAAAAGAAAGTGGCTTCTGGATGCCCACCCCCTGTCCAGTCTGCATACTGGACTGTGAGCTCCATGAGGGTAGGGGCTTTGCATCTTGGCGCTCAATAAGCGCTAGTTGAGCTAAATGCCACTAGTTTATCTGTACCCTGGCCTCACCCTTCCACCAGGCACCAAAGGTGAGAGGGCCAGCGTGCCAGGGGCTGAGCCCCTCCCCTCCTCTTCCACCCTTTGGGCCACCAGGACTGGACTCACCAATATAGAGGTTTCCTTGGTCCTCCTGGTCCTTGTAACTGTATTCGGATAAATCCCACTCCTTCCGCTGAATCATGTAGCTGTTTCCTTCAGGAGGATTTGGGGAGAGGAGTGTAAGTCACCGCCCCTTCCTCCACCATGTCCAGGCCCCCTCCCCAGAGAAGGATAATAATGACCTCTTAAAATATTTGTGTGCACTTTGCCAGGTGCAAATCACGTCCTCGTTATTTTAACAATTCTGTGAAGTAGCCTGGCTGGTGGTGCTCAGTGGTTGAGCATTGACCTATGAACTAGGACAGTGATGGCGAACCTTTTGAGCTCGGCGTGTCAGCATTTTGAAAAACCCTAACTTAACTCTGGTGCCGTGTCACATATAGAAATTTTTTGATATTTGCCACCATAGTAAAACAAAGACTTACATTTTTGATATTTATTTTATATACTTAAATGCCATTTAACAAAGAAAAATCAACCCAAAAAATGAGTTCGCGTGTCAGAGGTGTCATAGGTTCGCCATCACTGAACTAGGAGGTCAGGGTCCGATTCCCAGTCAGGGCACATGCCCAGGTTTCGGGCTTGATCCCCAGTAGCAGGAGGCAGCCGATCAATGATTCTCTCTCATTGATGTTTCTATCTTTCTCTCCCTCTCCCTTCATCTCTCGGAAATCAATAAAAACATATTAAAATAAAAGCAGCCCTAGCTGGTTTGGCTCAGTGGATAGAGCATCGGCCCATGGACTGAAGGTCCTGGGTTTGCTTCCAGTGAAGGGCACATGCCTTGGTGGCAGGCTCGATCTCTGGCCTTGGTCGGGGTGCATGCAGGAGGCAACCAAGCGATGTCTCTCTCTCACATTGATGTTTCTCTTTCTCTCCATCTCCCTTCCACTCTCTCTAAAAATCATGGAAAAAGTATCCTCGGGTGAGGATTAACAACAACAGCAAAATAGAATGATGGACCCCCCACCCCCTTTTGCAGATGAGAAAAGTGAGGCTTAGGCATGAGGAGCTAGCTGTAGGGACATGACTGGAATCTGGTCATCCAGGCTCGTGGCGACTAGATGACACTTCCCCCACTCTGGACACTGATGCCAGACTTCATGCCATTATCTCCTCCTAGTCTTGCCCCCAAACTGGGGCTGCCCACCGGGCCCCTGCTCCCCGGGGCTACTGCTGGAGAGTACCTGCACTCCACCAAGGTTCTAAAGGACCGGGGTGGGGGTAGGGGGCGGGGGCAGAACCACAGGAATGAGCAGAGGCCTCAGTTCAGGTGAGCACAGAGCTGTGACTAAGACCCGGGCCAAGGGCCAAGGTTCTGGGCTCCCTCTGTCTGTTGATTCTACAACAACAGGGCACAGGAAGAGGAGATGGGTCGCTGCTGCTACAACCTGTGTGGCAGAGAAAAGCAGAGATGCAGGGGGTGTGGGCCGTGAGGCGTGTGTGCCCCGGTAGTTACAAGCATGGGTCTTGGTACAAGGAAATACCCTGCAGCTCCCAAAAGATTGACCTATATGTCTTGACATGAAAAAATAGATGCCCCCTGTTTATTGAAAAGTGAAAAGAGGAGTAGTAGAACAGCCTGTTTAGTGTGAGTCTGTTTGTGTGTGTACTAAAGGTACCTCTATATTCTAAAATAAGTCTAGAGCAGTGGTTCTCAACCTTCCTAATGCCGCGACCCTTTAATACAGTTCCTCATGTTGTGGTGACCCCCAACCATAAAATTATTTTCGTTGCTACTTCATAACTGTAATTTTGCTACTGTTATGAATCGTGATGTGAATATCTGATATGCAGGATGTATTTTCATTGTTACAAATTGAACATAATTAAAGCATAGTGATTAATCACAAGAACAATATGTAATTATATATGTGTTTTCCGATGGTCTTAGGCGACTCCTGTGAAAGGGTCGTTCGACCCACAGGTTGAGAACCACTGGTCTAGAGGGTCCACAAGATGGAGTGTACACTGGGAAATGGGACAAGGGAGGTGGGTGATGGCAGGGAGGAGAGGAGGGGCACTTTTACTCTTTATTTTACCAAATCCTACTGTACCGTTTAGTAGCTGTACCTGGAGCATGTTGTGCTTTTTAAATCCGTTTTTAAGTGGCTACACTAGACGCAGATGGACCTGCATTCTAATTCAGGTTTCATAGCCTGCTGTCGGCTTGAGCCATTCACTTCACTTCTCTGAGGCTCAGTTTTCTGTAAAATGGGTATAACAATACTCGCCTCATAGAGAATCTGAAGGTTAATTAGGATAATATGTGTAAGTGCCTTCAAATAGTAGGGCTTGTGGTGGTTGCTGATACTGGCAAAGGGGGCCTGTCTCCTCTGCCCCCTAGTGTGGAGGGTCTCGGCCAGCTGCCCCAGTGGCTAACTGGGGCGGGTGGTCTCTGCTCCTCCCCTGCCCCTAGGGTCCTCACCTTTCCAGTTGTAGGCACCGGGAGCGCCGAAGTACACGGTGTTCTTGGTGAAGCCTCCGCTGGTGCCCAGCTGGCACATGCCCGTATCCAGGTAGTCGGTGTTGCTGTTGCACATCTCGTTGTGGTAGGTTTGCCAGTCGTCGGTGTGGTCCAGCTTTAGGTTGTTGCCCCGCACGTAGCACTTGCCCACCATGCGCCACTGCTCCTCCAACCCCGACCACAGCACCTGGGTGTAGCGGTGGGCACAGACCTGGGGACCCCACCCCAGCACACAGCCTGAGCCTGCAGCAGGGACTCAGGGCCCGCTGTGGACCCCTGGCTTTGCGGGAGCGGAGCTGAAAGGGGCCTCCTAGGGATGCCTGGACCCGCATCTCCTTTCCAGAATTCAGAAATCTGCTCTGAAGGTTGGAAACACTCTTGGGAAGGCCAGAAGGTACTGGATTTGAGAGTGGCTCAGAGATTCTGGCAATAGGAAAGGGGGAAAGGATGAGGGAATGTGGGTTCAAGCTCTCAGGTCTTAAAGGAGCTAGATCGCCAGCAGATTAAGGGACTTGCTTCTCTGCTGTCCCCAAATGACCCTGCCCTCTTAATGAAAGGACAACTAACAACAACAGCAGCAGCAGCAGCTGAAACGGAGTGCTTCCTACATGCCAGACACAATTCCAAGCTCTTCACACACTAAGCCTTTTAAGCCTCCTAACAACACTATGGAGTAGGGACAATCACTTTCTCCATTTTAGAGGCAGAGAGAGTAAGTCTCTGTCTAAGATCTCATGTCTCGAGAGAGGCTGTCCGGCTCTGAAGTCTAAGCTGTTACACACTAGGCCGCGCTGCCTCTCTCGTAGCCTCTCCCAGCACACGCCCGATAAATAGTTATTGGGCAAATCAATCAGAATAGGATGCTTGCAAAACAGCCAGGGGCCAGGCAAAAACCCCGCACCAGGCCTCCTTCGTGGTGGCTTACTTTCTGTGTGCCTTCCAGCTGTGAGCTTCACTCCCACTGGCCCAGCCTGACCTGTCACCACCAAGTTCCTGGTGCTGGCACAGTGCCTGGCACACAATAGGTGCTTGCTAAAAACTTCTTGAAGGAACAGATAGATGGGTGAGCAGACAACACTGAATGACCCAGTATCTAGAACGGCCTTAAGTGGGTCCTAGCCCCACACCATCCATAACAGAGGTCTGCATGAGGTGTCTGAGTGAAGTGATGCAAACCCGGAGCTTAAAATGGCGTTCAAATGCGGAGAGCGCAGCAGTGATGGGTCTGGAGGTGATGACTGGTTGAAAGGGGGCACACTTTCTAGAATGTGGTGAATATGCTATTTCTTTAATGGACGTTGGGAACACAGGTGTATAATTTTCAAAACTCAATGCCACTTACAATCTGTACATTTTGCTGTATGTACATTTTATATCAGTTTCTAAAATCTCTCTGGGACTCAGAAACTGAGAGCCCCAGGGGCCAGCACTGAAGAATGTGGGCAGGATGCCCGGCTGGCGTGGCTCAGTGGTTGAGCATTGACCTATGAACCAGGAGGTCACGGTTAGATTCCCGGTCAGGGCATATGCCCTGGTTTCGGGCTCGATCCCCAGTGTGGGGCGTGCAGGAGGCAGCTGGTCAATGAATCTCTCTCATCATTGATGTTTCTATCTCTCTCTCCCTCTCCCTTCCTCTCTGAAATCAATAAAAATCTATTTTTTTTTTAAAAAAAAGAATGGGGCAGGAGGTGACAGCTGATAAGAGGGAGCAGGCCCTCAGACCCAAACCAAGTGAGCTGAGGTCAGCAGGATTGTCCCTCTTCCGACAGCCAGCCAGCCTCCCCGGAAGGAGCGAGACCAGGCCACACGGCCTGAGGGCCTATCTGCCCTTTTCTCTTTGCTGTTCCTGTAGCTGTTCCCACGAAGGGTGAGCAACCCAGGGGGTAGCAGGGGTGGGGCAGGGAGGAAGTGTGATTCAGACAGGACCCAGGCCATGCTGGGTCTTGGGAGAGTGCCAGACCCTCCTCCCCCCCCTCCCCCATAAATGCAGGGTTGAGACACAGAGAGCCATAGACGTAGTCATTTGCAAAGCCCCCGCTCATGCACCAAGGACCCCCTCTGTCCTCTGATTTCTCTGCAGCTCCGGGGAGATGAAGGAGAGGGCTGAAGCAGGGAACCGACTGGAGTGCCCACTTACCAGGACTCTGCCTGCAGGGCCCTGGCTGGCCACAGTCACCCCAAGCCACATGTCCTCGATTCTGTGATGGTCAGGGTCATCTGTGGGCATGGGAGGGATCATGGGTCAGGGCACCCCATCCTCCCAGTGCCCAGAGCTTCCAGAGGGCAGGGGTTAGTCCCTCTCGGGTCCTCCACTCCAGCAGGGCAGCCGTCCCTCCTCCCTCCTCCAGCCCCCCCCCCCCCAAGTCTGAGCTCCCATATGGTCCCATTCTCCTCTAAGACTCCCTCTTCCCAGCTGGACAAGAAGTGACTAGAAATTGCTCAGGTGAGCCTTCATCTCCTCCAGGTCATTTCTCCCTTTGCTACCCTCTCCACCAGCCTCCTGACCCAGCACTGATCCCCAGCCCCTTCCCCTCACTTTTCTCTGTGATGTCCATCCTCTCACAGTCGTCCTTGTGGGCACTGAGTGGGCACAGGTACACAGCACCGGTCCGGTTGGTATAGCCATCAGACATGGCGAGGTCACGGGGAGCACCAACCAGGAGCCTGTGGGGCAAGGAGGGAGGGGGCTTGGGCTCAGACTCCCCAAAGCCCACTTCAAACAGCTTGCTGTTTAACATGCATTTACTGAGCATCTGCTCTGCCAGGCTGTGTGCCAGGCTCTGGGGTCAGGAGATAAATGGATCCCAGCCCCTGACCTCCAGGAGCACGTCCATAGGAGAAGGCAGGCAGGAAGCAGACCTCTGCAATCAGCGCCTCATGAGAGGAAAGCAGGGTGCAAACCAGCCCTGATTCTGCATGAGGGGCAGCCAGGGAAGAGGGGATTTGGTCTGAGTCTGAGAATGATGACCAGGCCGCCAGGTGAGGAAGGGGAGGAAGGGCACTTCAGGCATATGTGTGGCGTGGGCCCGGGGCCAGGAAGCATGAGCTAGCAGGATGACTCAGGTATCTGCAGGGTCCTGGCCCAGCTGGAATCCAGGAACCTGGGGAGAGACAAGAGTGCAGGGTGCAAAGGGCCTTGGGGAGCCATGGAGGGATATTGAGCAAGGTCAGATCTGGGAGTTACATGGTCAGATCTGGGAGTCACATGGTCAGATCTGAGAGTCACATGGTCAGATCTGGAGTGACATGGTCAGATCTGGGTTTTGGAAGGAATGCTTTGGCCTCTGAGATGAAGGTAGACCGAAAGAGAGCAAGCCTGGAGGGATCCTGGTGCAGGGCTCAACTTCCAGGAGGACCTGGGAGAAAACGTGTAAGAGGTGGCGTGGGGTCAGTTGTTGGGGCCCTGGGTCCTTCCACTCGAAGCCGTCTGAGGACTTAGATCTAGGAGGAGTGGACCCCTAAGGAATCTGAGTGATGCTTACACCCCCACCCCCACTGCCACCTTAAGACAGGCACACGGGTATTGGGTGGGACTGGGTACTCGACATTTTGGACATTCTGTCCCCAGGGCAGTGTTCTTGGAAAGTGGGAATGAGAGTGGACATGGGTCCCCAGCCTGCCCATCTTTAGGGACATTGACTACAAGTTCCAACAGGATGCTTAGGATACCAGCCACCCATCCCTACCAGAGAGGTGACTAGAGGACAGAAAGGCAGGGGATTCGCCTCGGAATCGTATCTCCAGAGTCCTTGGACCACCAGCATCAGAAATCCCTGGGATATGTGTTCAAAAGGCAAATTCCTCAGCCCATCACAGACCACCTGAATTGAATAGGAATATTCAAACCTGCATGTTTAACATGTACCCCAAATATTGTACACCCAGTTTGAGAACCCAGTTCTACCACTCCTTACTCTCCCGCATCATCGCACCATCTCTCTGTAGCCCCTGGACCTTCGGCCAGGACCGCCTCTTTGATTCTCATGGACCCAGCCTCCTGGGTGGCAGGCACCTCCTAGGAGCCCCTCCGTCGGGCCCCAGCAATACTAGCGCCCTGAGGCTCCCAGCTCAGAACTCAGGCTCTGGGCCTCCTGCCAGAGTCTGGAGGTGCCGTACCCCGCCTGCAGCTCTTGCCTGGAACCTGTGAGTGAAGGTTTCAGGGAGTGGGCAGGGCGGGGCCTAGGCATGCCAGGACTTGGGTGCCTCTGCCCACTGGGTGTCAGGAATGCACGGCCTGGAGGTGCTGGGAAGGGGGTGGGGCCCCTGCCTGCACCTTACACCTTAGCTCAGACCTCACCCTGGGGAAGTGTTAGGCGGTGCTAGGCAGAAAGGCTGGCAGGGGGCCAGTGTGGCAGCCAGGCCCAGTTAGTCACCCTCTGTCTAAGCTCAGGAGGGTGCCTGACCACCCATGGACACCCACCCCTAGGGAGCCTGACAGGTGAGAGAGGGAAGCCTTTCGAAAGGAGCATTCCAGCTTGGGAGCCTAAGGGTCCGGTTGTAAGGTCTGTTCTGCTTCAAGGGGCAATTTCCTTTCCCTTTCTGAGCCTTGAGTGCCTCATCTGTGAAATGGGGACAGCAGCTGTCCCGACAATCTCCAGGGTTGTTGGGGGAACCAATGGGTTCTCCCTTCGAAAGGACTTTCTGGCTATGAAGACATGGTCGGTGTGAACAGTGTCCTTCTGATTATTGAGACACCAGGACTGGCCCCAGCACACCCAGGCACCCGGGGGTTTCTGTCCCACCAGGTTAGGGAGCCTGGGGCTGAGGACACATAGCAGACGAGTCCAGTTATTTAGAGGGAGCAGAGGATGGGGCACAGCAGCACTTCCAATGCCTAAGGAGACCAGGCAACCACTAAGGTGGGGGTGGGGCCCTGGCAGCTGGAGTCATGCCAGGGTGGGAGCTCAGAGTTGGCTGGTGGAGGCTGGGGTCATGCTACAGTGACCCTGAAGGGGTGGGTCCAGGCCTCCGTGGGCGAGAGGAGGCCAGGCTGCCTCCCAGGACTGCAATGCCATGGAAGTGTTGCTGCTCCTGCTGCTGCTTGCCCAAGATGTCTGAGGGAGGGAGCTGCGGGTCCCCTCCTCTTAGCCTCCTGGGGAACCAGGCAGGCAGAGCTGGGCACAAAGGCAACTGAACTGAAATAAATCCCCTTACCATCTATACCCTCCCCGGCCTTGCCCCAACCAGTCTCGTGCCTACTGATGGGCGGCAGGGCAATGCCAGGCCCACATCCCCAGCCCCACCCTCCCCAGAGATTCCACAGGGAGCCCCCACTCCCACCCCCTGGAGTATTTTTAGCTCCAACTTGGCCTGTTCAGAGGCCCTTTAAGGCCCTCTGGCTCCCAGCCCAGGATCCAATGGGTCTACAGTCAGAGGACTGCGAGTGGATGGAGGAAGGTGGTGTGCAGAGGGTCAGATCCAGCTGCCTCCAGCCACAGCCAGATGTGGGAGCACCCAGAGGGTGGGAGAGACCTTACTGACATGCAAATGTATTACCCATTAATATGCAAATGAGCACTCTGCTGCCTGCTGTTGGATCTGGTCCAGATCCGAGAATCCAAAAGCTGACCCCTTCTGGACCACCACTGAGCCCACCCTCCCAGCAGCAGTCAGAAGGAAGGAGGCTAGGAGGGAGGCTTTGCCCAGCCCCTGGAGCAAGAAGAGATCAGATCAAACCTCTCCTGGAGTCTGGGCTGGGGTTGGTGGGCAGGGAGCCCCTCCGGGAGGTAGGGGAATGGGTAAGATGACCTCTTAAAGGCTTTCAAAGAGCTGTCTCCTCACCCTCTCCTGTGGCTCCAGCCAGACAGCCCCTCCTGGCCCCTGGGGAGCCCCCTGAGCCCCAAGTTCTGGAAAAGCACTTCCTCACTCCTGCTTCTCACTTCTTTGACAGTTCAAGGCTAATGCAACAGCCAAATAGAAAGTAGTAGAATGGGAGGGGACTGGGGTATGAGGCCCAGGGGTGTCAGGGCACCAGGCTGGCTCACCCCAAAGAGAAGAAGGCCCCCCTGGGATACTGGAGTGTGGGGTGATACTCAGAGAAACAGGCTCCTCCCCTCAGTGGGGAGGGTGCTGGGGTGGCTCCAGTGGAGAGGGCCAGAGGGTCCAGCACTCAGGCTAATGGGCCCCCATGTCTTACTCCTCAGGGTGCCCTTCCACCTCAGGGCTAGAAGCTGGTTGGGGAGGGGGCTGCCCCAGCTCTGAGCCCGCAGTGGGGTGGCAGCAGTTCTCAGATGCCTGGATCCCAGCTCTGTGCCAACTCTGCTGCCGGAATTAGCCATCTCCCAGAGGCCGGTCCTGTGGTGGCTGAGACTGCAGCCCTCTCTGTCCTCCCCTTACTTCTTATGCTGCCCAGCCAGCCCCCTCTCCTCTCTGGTGACTCAGCCCTAGAACCAGAGCAACAAGCGGGAGGAAGGGATAGAAGGAGGGAGGACGGGAGAAAGAGACCTAGGCCCGAGCCTCCAATAAAAGGGAACAAGGCCGGTTTTCTCATTTCTTCTCCCTCTCCCTTGCTCCTTAGTATTTTTTCCATATCTGATCCCTGAGGGCATTCTTCATGTCATCTAACCTCAATTCCTCTTGCTGCAGCGGACATCCTTTCCCCTTTGTTTAGCTCTGACCGAGCCCCTCTCTTTTTCTCCAGGATCGGGCTTCCCCTGCCTCCCACCCCATTGGAAGCTCCTGGGCCTGGACTGGTCAGTGGAGAGAGCCGGAGGAAAGGACACTAGGCCACATGCAGCCTTCTGCCTGCAGCGGCAGCCTGCTTTGCCCGTTTCCTTTGGCACGAGCCTTGGAGGCTGCCAGGTGGCTGTTCTGCCCGGGAAACATGTTTGAGGAGAGCACAGCAGGTAATCCTGGTTCCTGCCTCCCTCGGGGATGACCTCATCTTCCAGGAGGCCCAGCCACCCTCACCCCAGGCTTCCCAGAAACCCTCATTGCCTGGCAAGGGCGAGAGGGAGAGAGGGCCCCGGAGGTATCTCCCACAAGGTCAGGCCAGACCAGGACACTGGATTCCCAGGAGGCAATGAAGAGCAGGTGCTAAGGGCGGGGAGCCAATGGCTATCTCCCTGAGGAACAGTCCCTCTGTCTCCCCAGGGGTCCTCATGCACCTCACCAAGAAGCCCAAAGCCACCGGGTCCCTGCCCCACTCCTCACCCCTCAGGTCCAGTGACTGAGAAATTGGGGCCTGGGTTGGGGTGAGCCTCTTACATTGTGGGCAGGGAACCCCAGCCCAGAGGTGGAGCTGATGGGGAACAAAGAGGGTCTGCACCTGGGTTCTTAACCATTTCCGGAATAAGGCCTTCTTTGAGAATATGATGAACACTACACACTCTCCCTGCTCCCACCCCCAGAACAACACACAAACACACATGATTTTACATGTGCTTTCGGGGATCTCTGCCCCTCTGGGAAACCTCCTGTGAGCCCCAAACGAAGAGTCTGTTCAGGACCATGGACCCTTTCCCTTTTCCAAAGGGACCCTGAGGCTAACAGAAGAGAAGACTGTGACTTGATTGCTGGTTCCCCTGAGCTGCGCACTCAGGCAGCTGTTCACATCTGGCTACACAGCTGGCTACAGCCAAGCCCAGCTGGGCCAGCTGGCTCTCCCAAAGGGCCAAGGAGCAGAAGTCAGTGAGACCAGGAGATGAGCCAGGATCTAGAACCACCCCTGGGGAAGACTGAGGAGACTGAGTGGCCCAGAAGTCTACCTAGAACTACCTGCTTCTGAGGTCCATTAGTTTTAGAACCTCTGGGCTCTTGTCAGGCCTAATGCCACCTCTAGCTGCCCAGGAAAAAAAAAAAGTAGAACTTCTCTGCTCAGCCATCTTGGGTGAGGCCCATGGATAGTGAGGGTGTATCCAGGTCCTGGCAGGAGCCCTCAGCTGCAGAGCATTTGACACACATTCTCTCATGGAAGCCCCACTCTTACCCCATGAAGACGGTGTGTGGTTCCCCTTCCCCTGACATGGGAGGAAATGCAGGCCCCGGTATGAGTGACAGATGTGAGAGACAGGTCATTGGCAATGGAACTCTGCAGCTTCTTCTCTCTCCACAATGCCGAGTGGCCTCTTCTAGGGCAACAGAGGCAGGAAGGAGCAATACAGATCCAGGTCCAACCCAACTCCTCTTTGGGGAAAACTGGCCCAGAGAAGGGAAATATCTTGCTCAAGGTCACCTAGCAAAGGGGGGAGGGTGTTACGGAATCCTTTATTGACTCCAGCTTCCCATTATTTCCTCTTGCTTCTCTGATCTTCTCTTTACACGATGCTGCCTTAGCATGGAAAGCCTTTTTCCAGATCGGGGCAGAAAGAGCACCAATTTTAGAAACTTGTGTTGACGGTCACTTAGAGTCTCCAAAGATGGAGGCCTGGCCAAGGCCGGGCCGCAGCCGCTGGGGCAGGGCTCGAAGGCTGTGGTGACCTTAGCCTCTGCAGAAGCGACGTGGAATTAGCCAGTTCAGGTAGGCAGGCTGGGCAGGGGCTGGGCCAGCAGGGCAGGAGCCAAGTTTGGACTTTGACATTCCTCAAGTTTCTACCGGCCTCGGCCAGAGTTGGAAGAGGTTTCAACACACCCTTTTTATGACCAAGTCTTCTCGCTCAGAGGGGTCAGATGCCAGGTGGGGGCAGAGGTCTGGTAGGCGACCCGACTCAAAGTGACAGGGCCTGCCTGACCTGTCCTAACTACCTTCCCTCCTGGGACAGCCTCACCTCCCCACCCCCCTTCCCTTCTGGAACATCTGAAACCTGGATATGCCCCTCAGGGCATGAGTGTGTGGTGAGCGTGGAGGAGGGGCACGGAGCGCAGGATGCAGCCTCGGTCCCCTCGGTCCCCTCTGTCCCTTATGCCTAGCTCTTCCCTTCCTTCTTGCAGCTGGTAGGGAAGGAGAACAGAAGGAACAGAAAAACACCATTTCCCTCTTCAAACCAAACAAACACTCTCAGGGTTAAAGACTCAACATGAATCTGTGGAATGCAGGAAAGATGTCTGCTGGGAGGGTGTCACTGCTGGCCTGGGGGTGAGGGGGCAGGAGACCCAGCAGGATTTGGGACAGCTCCTCCTCTCTCTTCTACTCCCCCACCCTCAAGGGATCAGAGGGAGGCCCCTGGACAGCTCCAAGCACCCAGACTCATCACCTCAACCTCCAGCTGCGGAGAGGCTGGGAACCCCTCCAGTCTGTCTCTGCAGAGGGTGCGGCTGGCGTGGCCGCAGACTTAATGGGAGGTGTCAAGGGAGAGAGCTTAAATGCATGTGCCCATAGGTCCTCCCCAGGAACCGGGTGAGGGAGATCCAATAAGCGTCTATCCTGCAGTTTTCCCAGCTCCCATCCCTGGAGAATAAGGGGCATGCGGTGTACTAGGTACTCAATTCACAGAAGGGAAGGGGCTCAGGGAAGCGGAACTCCAATGCTGCTCTCCAGAGAGGTTTAAAGGGCTGAGGGGCTGCGTCTAGACAGGTTCTGGCTGGGTCAGCACTTGCCAATGATGACTGCCCCACCCCCCATCCCCATCCCACGCCTAATCCCTTCACTTCCCGCCAAATCTCCGCAGCAGGAGGGCTGCCCAGGTCCCCACCCGCTTAATCTCTGCTCACAGTCGCCGGAGGCCCGTGGGCCAGGACTCCGACTCAAGTCCGGATCCGCACCGCACCCTGCACTCGCACACACTCTCTCGCCCACTGCACCCCCGCCGGCCTCACTCACAGGTTGCGCTGCTGCGGCTCCGTCTGCCGATGGAGGGCGACCGAGTAGCCGAAGAGGCTGCCCGGGTTCCGGGCCTCCTTCACCACCAGGAATCGGGTGTCCAGGTTGAAGGCGGAGGCGACGCGACCGCCGGCGGCCACAATCAAGGCGAGCGCGCAGAGCGTCGGGCGCAGGACAGGGGTGGCGAGGCGGGGGCTGGGTCCCATGGAGGCGAGCGGGAGCGGGCACCCGGGCGAGAGCGCGTGCGGACGCGGAGCTGGGCGTGCGGACCTGTTCACCTGCCCGCGCACCACCGCCAAACCCTCGGCCCGCCGCGTCCTTCAGCCCCGCAGCGCTGATCGGTTTCACATCCGCTCGGGGTCCGGGCTCTCAGGTGCGCTCCGAGGTCCGCGGGTCTGTTCTCCGGCCAGCCCGGCGTCTGGTCGCCGCGCCCCCACCCCGGACACCCTGCCCCGCAGCTCGTCCCGGCCGCGCCCCCTTGGCCGCACGGTCGACTTCGATCCCGGCTGGTGACGGATCTGGGCTGGCAGAAGGGTAGACCGCAAGGAGGCCGGGAGGGAGGGGTGCTTCCGCGCGCCCCGCTTCCCACGCCCAGCGCCGCACCTCCCCACCTTGCGCGCCCAGCCGCGCTCCCCTCTCCTTCCGGGAAAAGAGAAAAGGTCCGCGCTCCGCCGCCGCCCTCTTAAAGAGGCAGCACCGCCCCGCCCTCCTCATCCTGCCCGGGACGGCTCCGCCCTCTCCCCCCAAACACCTGTCGAGAGCCCCCAAAGGCTTGGATTCTCCCTCCCCGTCCCTTGCTTCTCCCCAGGAGCGTCGCCTTTCGATCAAGATGGATTGGGCGGGCGGGGCCGGGGGTGGGATCTGTCCGGCCGGTTTTGCTGCCGCAGCTACTGCTGTGGCAAAGGCCGTTCCAGGCGTGGCCGCCTCGGCCGGCCCTGCGGGAGAGCCTGGCGAACGGAGCTCCGCGCGCCGCGGGCTGCAACGTCCGCCTCGCCGCCGCTGTGCTGGGCGTCCCTGCGAGGCGGCTGGCGGTCTCTGGGCGTCCTTCGTCGCACGCAGCCCCTTCGCTGTCCTCGTGGAGATTTTTTTTTCTCTTGCCCGCCCGCCCCCATCCACCCTGAGCCCAGCTGGGCATGGTCCCTCAGCAAAGCCAGACAGTAGTAAGTAACCAAGCGGCCGTAGTAGTTAGCAACAAGTCAGCCTTTTCCCCGAAGGGCTGCGCCTTCTGGTAACCCTTGGAAGCCATGGATGGGGAAATGATTCTCTTCTCTTAAGAGTGCCCTGCGTGGCCAGGGGGCTGGACCCAGACTGCACCCATTTTCACCCACCCCTGCCTTCAGATACCAGCCCAGCACAATCCCAAAGTTCCCCTTCTCCCACCCAGGCTCAGACTGTTTGGAGACTAGGCGGGGATGCCAGCCCCCACAGGTGTGTAGTGGGTGGTGCCCGTTGGCATTAGGTGGGCGGGGCCTAAAGGTTTTCCGCAGAAAAATCAGCCAGCTGAAAGGGAACTTCAGAGGTCAGTGTGTACTTTATTAAGTCTGACTCAGGTTTCCCTCCTTGCAGCACAAAACTCAAGGATCTTTATTATCTTGGCTCAGGAGTTCAGCCCGCAGCACTCACAACCTTCAAGTTCGGTTTAGTACTCCTATCTCTGAGCGTTTAGAGTGATAAGAAAACTACCATATGGTAAGTCCTTATGCACCCAGAACTGTGCTAAGGGCTTTACAGGTATTATTAAATTAAACCCTCACAACAGCTGATGAGGGGTTGTCGCTGATTCGGGAGGAGAAAACAGGCGCAGGGAGGTAAAGCCACGTGGTGAAGGCCGCACACACAGCTTGGATTTTAATCCTGTGTTACCCGACTCCAGAGCCTCTCTTGACCACTTACGCCAGTGGTTCTCAACCTTCCTAATGCCGCGACCCTTTAATACAGTTCCTCATGTTGTGGTGACCCCCAACCATAAAATTATTTTCGTTGCTACTTCATAACTGTAATGTTGTTACTGTTATGAATCGTAATGTAAATATCTGATGTGCAGGATGTATTTAGGCGACCCCTGTGAAAGGAACGTTCAACCCCCAAAGGGGTCTCGACCCACAGGTTGAGAACCGCTGACTTACGCTAATAATTAACATTTGTATAATACCCAGGGCCGATCTAGTTTTGGTGAGGCCTGCAGCTTGTACAATTTGGAGCCCTCTTTAAGGAGAAGGATGAGGAATTGGGGTACAAAATTAGATTCAGAGCCCGGGAGGGGCTCAAGCCTAACGTTACAGCTGATGAAACATTTCACATGAAGACTCTCATTTCCTCCTCCTGGCCTCCCTGTGAAGTCAGGATTATCATCCTCATCTGATTTATAAGGGAACGTAAATGTCCAAGATCACACAACTCACAGGAGGCGGTTAGGACTGGCAGCCACTGGCCACAGCTGTGTCTTTAAGAGACAAACTCCAGGCAGATGTTGGTCAGACAGCCAGATATGCCTAAACAGAAGCAGCTGCGATAACAGTGTTCTCTGTGGTTTTGGGGAGTGGACACTCACCCATCCCTGTCTGTCCTTAGGACAGCATTTGTTCCAGAGCCACGCAGCCTCTCTCCATGGTCCACCTGCGGCCCAGAGCCCCCGGGGTTCGGAGATTGGAAGTCAAGGAACAGGAAGCGGATTTGGCTGGAAGCTGAACTTATCTTGCTCTCCTTACGATGGCTGCTGGCTCCTCCACCTTCTTCCAGGAGAAGAGGAGGCAGCCAGGGCCAGGAGCTCAGGGGCCAGGTGGACACTCCCTGTGGCCAGGGGTCCTGCCTATTTGAAAGCGCTGTGATGACACGGAAGGGCTGCATGCCCAGCGTTATCTCTTTGGCCATCCCCAACAGGAATGACCAGCATGTCCGATCCCAGGGCTGGGGGCAGGAAAGGGATGACGGATGGTTTTTCCACTCCAGAGGAGTGTCCAGAGGGAGTGTGGGAGCAGGAGCAGGGCGCCTGCTGGGGGAAGGCCCGAGCTGAGGAATGTGGGGGAGTGTCAGGCAGATCTGGGGGCGGTGGGAGGGTGAAGGGAGACCTGGAGACTGGAAGGCCTCTGGGCTGGAGAGTTCGTGCCGAATACCCAAAATGCTCTGGTTTCGGTGACAGCATCCACAGCCTCATCCCATCCTCAGTTGACTTCATCAACTCTTCCCCATGGCGAAGGGGCTCACCTAGAATGTAGGCACAGAGAGAGACAGAGGCACAGGAATACCATGTGTAATGAGGCATCTGGGTCCAGTTTTTTTTAAAATATATTTTTTATTGATTTCAGAGAGGAAGAGAGAGATAGAAACATCAGTGATGAGAGAGAATCATTGATTGGCTGCCTCCTGCATGCCCCACACTGGGAATTGAGCCTGCAACCCGGGCATATGCCCTTGACCAGAATCGAACCCAGGACCCTTCAGTCCACAGGCCGACGCTCTATCCACTGAGCCAAACCTGCTAGGGCTTGGTACAGTTTTGTGTGTTTTTTAAAATATATTTTATTGATTTTTTACAGAGAGGAAGGGAGAGGGATAGAGAGTTAGAAACATCGATGAGAGAGAAACATCGATCAGCTGCCTCCCGCACACCCCCTACTAGAGATGTGCCCACAACCAAGGTGGATGCCCTTGACCGGAATTGAACCTGGGACCCTTCAGTCCGCAGGCTGATGCTCTATCCACTGAGCCAAAACAGTTAGGGCTGGGTACAGCTTTTGATGTTTGATTGCTGACAGCTCTTAAGCCGTCACCTCTCCTGCTTCCCCTTGTGTCCCACACCTGGACCAGCTGACGAGAAAGCCCGGGCACAGACTGCGCTCCCTGCTTTGGCATCCACGGGAGGTTTGAACCATGCAAGCCCTGCGCTTCCCACACAAATACTCACCCTGACCTCACTCCCAACCACAATAAAAATCCTGGGCCCATCTCCTTTCTTGGCTCTCTCCAGCCATATAAGACCTGCTCCCCCGAGACCTCAGTTATGTAAATAAAACTGTCATACTCTCTTGGGGGGGGTGTGGCGTCATCTGTCCTGGGATCCATCTACCTCTGCAGTGACCACAACATGCCACTGTGGATTCTGCCGTAGGGCCAGGGAGGCTCCCTGGAGGAGGAGTATCTGGACAAGGGACGAGGAAAGGACTGGCAAGAGGGAGCTCGGAGTGGAGAAAACAGAAGAGTTGGGGCCTTGCTTGGGGTGAAGTTTTCCAGTTGCAACCGTGATGTCAAAACTTTATAAAAGGCCCTGACTGGTTTGGCTCAGTGGATAGAGCGTTGGTCTGCGGACTGAAAGGTCCCGGGTTCGATTCCGGTCAAGGGCATGTACCTTGGTTGCGGGCACATCCCCAGTAGGGGGTGTGCAAGAGGCAGCTGATCGATGTTTCTCTCTCATTGATGTTTCTAACTCTCTATCCCTCTCCCTTCCTCTCTGTAAAAAATCAATAAAATATATTTTTAAAAAAACTTTATAAAAGCACCTTTTGTTTACGCAGTGTTTGCTGTGTTCACACCAGCCTTCCTCTGCCTGACCCCTCCCACACACACACACACCCCATCTCGCTCTCTCCTTGTCCACTTGTCTCTTGAGGCTCCCAGACCACACCACTTGCTCACTCACCCCTCACAGGAAGGTCAGGCCGTGGACATGATGTACACAGGCCGTTAGTGGGCAGATAGTGAAGGAGTGGAATTGGGGTGCCACTGGCATTGAATGCAGGCTACCTTCTGCCCTCTCACCTTGGGCAAGTTACTTTTCCCTCTAGGCCTCAGTTTCCCCGGATCTATGAAAGGAAAGGGCTGGAGAAAATTTTTCCTTATTTCTCTACTGGTATCCTTCGTGTCCCAAGGCTCCTAATATTTGTCGGACTAAGTGGAACACAGAACTGCTATTGAACTAAATCTCAGGTCTCTATCTCTGACTTGAACTGAAAATGCAAATCCTGAGGAGAGGGGGAGGAGCTGCGAAGCTTGAATGGGTTTATCAGATTTCCTTTCTCCAGTGACCCAGTTACAGGCCTGGGGTGGGTGGGGCAGGCGCCTCGTCCTGACAACTTCCCTGGCTCAGAATCTGTCAGCCTCATTCACTGACAACCTACTATGTACAGGCACAGAGCTGGGGACCCCCGGGGCTGCCAGAGATGAACCAGAGCATGCGCCAGAGGCTGCAGCTTTATCATGGCCTCACATTCTGAAAGCTCTCAAACTTAAGAGGCTAAACCCACATTATGTTGTATTTCAGGGCTGGTGCCTGGGGGCAATGGGTGGTGTTAGAAAGAACATTTTGGCTACAGCATGAAGCTGGCATTGTCAAGAGAGACTGAGCTAGTGGGAAGGGGCTGCTGTAATAATTTGGGCAAGGGGTGAGGGGCAGAGGAGGGAGAGAGTGTGAGAAGGCCCAGGGCATGGGGTGGGGGGACCAGAGGGGTTCTGAGAATAAATAGGTAGTGACCCAAAGAGGGGCCTGGTGTGCTGGCCCCAAACACCAGTAACCTTCCCTGCCAGCCTGTATTCCCTTCTCCCCCCTTCCCCTCCCCCCACCCTGTCTTTCTAGTTCCTCCAACACTCTCCATGGTCCCCTCACTGCCTTGCTGCCCTGGCTGGGAGATGAGAACGCTGGTGGGCTCTTCAGCATTCTCTCTCTCTCATGCCAAGGTGGCCCCTTCAAGGTTGGGAGGCCATGTGATCACCCCATCTGAGCTGAGTCACCAGCCCCCAGGGGCCTTGTCATTTCTGGGGGAGATGCCTTCTTGCTGACAGGGTTCTGTGCTCAGGTGGGAAGTCTGGGCAGGGGCTGCATCCATGCCTCCTGCTCCTACTAACTCCCTAGAGACCCTCCTGGGGGTGGAGGACCACGTGTGGCTGTCAGTGAAATGCTCCTACATGTATGTTGATTGGAACATGTGTCTGTGCACATGGTCCCTCACGCATTCACACGTGTTTGCCTATGTGTCTCTGAATGTTTTATGTACATTTGAATCCTGAAAGGGAACTAATATTTATCCATGTACGTTAGCATTCTCCTACCTGCTGATGACACCCGCCCAAGCTCCTCCAGGCTCCAGCCTTGATGTTCGGCTCTCTCCAGCCACAGGCCCCTCAGACTCTGAGTGTCCAGAAGGGGCTCAGCATCTCCTCCTTGTCCCCACAGCCGACTCTCCTGGAACGACCTCTGAATCAGCACCTTGTCTCCAGCAGAATTCCACAAACACACCTCGTCCACATGGAAAATACCCACTTGTTCTTTTTTAAAAATATATACATATCCTATACAATCAAAGTGTAATATGCAAATCAACCAAATGGAGGAATGACAGGTCGGTGGGGGGCGGGGCTGGTGAGCAGGCGGTAACAGGCCAGCCAAGGTGCATGCCAGCAGGCAGAGGGAGGGGACAGTGATGGGGGTGGGGGTAGGGCTGGCTGCTCACCAGCCAGCACTGTGCCCGGATCACCCACCCAATCGCTTCCCGCAGAGGGAGGCCAGACTGCGGCTTAGGCCCACTCCAGGAGCGGGCCTAAGCCATCAGTCGGACATCCCCTGAGGACTCCTGGACTGCGAGAGCGCACAGGCCCGGCTGAGGGACCCCACCACCCACCAGCAGTGCATGAATTTTCGTGCACCAGGCTTCTAATATATATGTAATACTTGTATTGATTTTTAGAGAGAAAGGGAGAGGGAGGGAGAGAGAGATAGAAACATCGATGAGAGAATCATTGATTAGCTGC